CCCCGCCCGGGCTGTCAGAGCCGGCCGGTCCCGGGCGAGCTCGGGGCGGCCGCGGGATGCGGCGCTGAGCGCGCTCAGCTCGCCTCTCTCCGTCCGTCGGTCGGTCACCCCGCCCGGGCTCCGGCACGCCGAGATTCCCTCCCGCAAGCTCATGATGTGCCTGGAAAGCGACGGCTCCTCCGGCAGCAGCCCGGGCTGCGGCGGGCGGCTCCGAGCCGGCGACGAGGAGGAGGAGGAGGACGGCGAGCAGGGCTGCTGCGGCCGGGGCGCCGAGGGCGAGGTGCAGACTCTGTCGGGCCGGATGAACCCGCCGGCGGCCGGCAAGCACCCCGACCGCCCCTCCGCCCTCCGYAAGGCGCCGAGCCTCGGCCGGGCCCGCGTAGCGGCCGCTGGTATCCTCAGCGTGGGCAACGTGCTCAACTACCTGGACCGGTACACGGTGGCAGGTGAGCGCACCCGCGGCTGTGAGGGCATCCCCCGCCGCCCGGGGACAGCCCTGCCCGGGCACGGTGCAGCCGCCGCTGTCCTCAGGGTTGCCCCGGGCCGGGGTCAGCTGGGCTCGCCCGGCGTGCCGGGGCTGGAGGAGGGATGGCGTGAGGTATGCGGCGTGGCCAGTGCCCATTGTGCGGCCCCTCCGGTATTGTTCTSTAGTTTGTCTGAATTTTACCGAAAATAAGAGGAGCGCCCTTTGTTTGTCTGGGATCGATGGCGGAATCGTCTCGGTGGGATTCAGGAGGGACCGGCGGCTGCAGCGCGGGCAGAGCGGAGGGCGCTGTGCGAGGTTTGGGGGTGATGGCAGACGCGTTATCGATCCCGGCACTGGGTAAACGCTGCGGGCGACAGGTGCAGCTGCGGCCGGAGAGACACAGTCTGCCGCCAAACCGGGGGGGACAGGGATGCGAGCGCGGTGTGTCCTTGGATAAAAATCGCAGCGAAGCAAATCCCCTTTGCTTTGTTTCTGCGGAGTGCGTCCAGCCTGGAACACCCAGCTGTCCTTCAGCCCTGTGCCAAGGAGGGTCGCTTCCCTGCAGAACTCCCGAGCAGAGCTGGCAGGAGCGGGCGCAGGAGGAGCAGTCAGGCAGCTGCAGTGCACTTTGCAAAGCTCGGTTTTCTTGAGGTAAACACTTTAAAATGTTGCGCTGGTGGATGCGTGCCTTACTGCGTGAACCACTATGTGTCTCAGTGCTTACTACTACTGTGAAGCTCAGATCCAAAACAAATGTCTGTTTGGATGTTTACTGTGCCATCCCTAGAGGACTCCTTGTTTATTCTTGTCAGGCAATAACAGCAGGGAAGAAGATCATCACTGAACTTTTTCTAATTACAAACAAAGTAGGCTTGTTGGTAATCAACTGTCTCATGTCATTAGAATATAATACATATTCTCTGTTTGGCAATACCGATAATTTTATCTTCAGCGCTTACAAAGGGGTTTGTGCATGTATAAATTTTTCTTCATGCATATATATGTTTTAATCACTAGGTCTCAATGTGGTGTTAAGCAAATCTGATATTTGTTTATACCACATTAAAATAATATATGTTTGTAGGGCAGTGATAGAGCACAAGGGACATAAATCTAAGTCACTGTTGTCAGAATAAATTGGCCAGTTTGTATTTATTTTGTCTGGAGTGGGGAGATGGGGAGGATTAGAAGGAACATTAAGCTGGCACTACTATGGCTTTTTTGTTATGCCTTTTAGATGTAGCTTCTTCCTTCAGGAAATCTAAAGCCCAGTATTGGGAGATACTGAGTACTTGGCTGGCAGTCAGTCTGTTACAGGAGGAAGCTTGAAGATATAAGGTTAACCTGTTATTATTGAAGGAAATTKTAGTTTGCTCCCTTGCCCTCAAATAGGGACCTCTCTAGTGGAGAGTTTTACTACAAAGCACCTTTAATGCATGGAGAGTTTCCTTTTTAGGAATCTATTCCCCTGCTCATGCATTCTTTAAAAAAAATAAATAAATCACGTCTAGTTCACCTATTTGCTCTAGCACTTCCACTGAGACCTGTGTCATCTRATTTTTCTGCCTGCCAAAACTGAAAGCATCTTCTTTTCTGGAAAGGCTGGAAGGTGCCTGACCAAGCAGAAGGTAAAAAYGCCTGCCGACTGTAGTGTGGCATTGACAGTCCCAGTGCTATGATTGCTGGTATTTCTAGGWTAAGCTCTGGTTTTACAGTGCTCAATAATTGCCCTGTGGAACTTAAGTATTAACATTCAGCTTGATATCAAAGGTTTAAGATCTCAGACATCAGACTTGCCTTTGGGGACAGAATCAAACTTTGCATGAGCTTTTTGTCTTCTGTCAATTGGTATTTACTTTTCAAACTGGTGTTCRTTCTATAAAGTGCTAATCTAAAACATGGAATAGTTTAAATCCAGTGTAATAGAAGAGTTGTGGTACTAAAAATTATGTGTTTTGAGCTCAAAACTGACTTGATTATAAAGYCTTCTCTAAAAGTAATCTTTGCTTTTGTGTTTTGAGTCTTATTGTATACCACATGCTTATGTGATGTGCACTTGCAGATGAATCAAGCTAGCACTTTGAATATTCAGCTCATGTCTCAAGACAGGTAATAATTAGTAAATACAACTCTCCAGACCTTCAAAGTGCATTTCAAATATTAATTGTTCCAGCAATATAATAAGGGATTTTAACATCAGCCACATTATGGCAGGGGAAGCAGCATCAGAAATTATGATGTACCTAAGGCCAGTGGACTGTTGTGAGAACTGGAATTACTTTCTGTTTCCATCTCTGTTTGAAACAAGTGTTAGAAGAGCAGCAGTGCCAATGGGGACTGGTTCCTGAGGATTTGTTTTTAGGGCGATTCCTGCTGTTGATTTTCTGATGTCAAATARTAGTTGACCTTTGTCATTAACCTTTCTCTTCTTGTCTTATAAGAGTCTTGGCTCTACCCAGCYTTTTTGTTTTAATGAAAGTGTTGGGAGCTTTGGGACTTCTTCCTGCTGTCAAATTTAGTCAAAAGCAGGTCAATGGCYCCAAAAGCAATTAGTAGGCAGCTGACAGAGGGACAGAAGCAAACAGAGTATCCAGTTGTATGGGCACGATACTCCAAGTACATCTCCTGTCTTACTTGAGAACTTGGCTGCAATTATTTTGGTCTTCCAAAAAGTATAAGAAAAGCAAGTGTATATTTAATGTGTATATTAAAAAAAACCCAAATAAATGTAATTATATTTACTGGGGAAAAAGATCATATACAGAGTTATTTGAGATGTAATTTCCTGAATATCTTCTGCTATTTTCTGACATATCCTCTTGAAAGCTGGATAGTATATATCCAGTCAATGAAAGAATATCTTATGTAATARAAAGTACTAGGCTGACCTCTCCTATAGCACATCTTGCCCTTAAAAATAAAAACTTTTACATTGCTGCAAAGCAAACAGCAAATACAGTATTTCTTAGTGTTTACTGGGCACATAAATATGGTGTATTATGAGTTTTTCTGGATAATCTTTTTTTCAAGTGYGACACACGGAAGTAGCTGCCTGTTTTCCTGGTTTTGGTTTAATGATTTCCCAATATGGACTAAATGAGTTTATGATGGGATGTGCCTTTTTGGTATCTGGGACAGGGCTTAAGTGTAGTTTCTGAGATAGAGGGCATACACAGCTTCACACCTGACACTGAGTTGCAGCTTTTTTTGGAGTATATGATGAAAATGGACCTCCACTCACGACTGGTCTGTTTCTTATGGTTTAAGAATAAGTTTCTTCCACTACTTAAAAATAAAGAGTCTGGACAACAGTAGTGGATAATCCAATAAGGTCCTTATGTTTAGAAAGAGTTGGAAATTTCCAGTGTGTGTGGAGCATSTTGAAATATACTGATATTTGGGAGAAGCCGTCCCAGACAAAAAGTGCAAGTGCCTCTACAGTGGCTATTATAAAGAAAGGATTGAAAACTCAATCAATTACTAACTTGGAGGGAAATGACCCTCAGCAATTTTCTTAATAGSTCTTTGATCATACTGAAAACAGTTGCCTGTGGAAAAAGCATTCTTTCAAAAGCTGTGATATTTTGCTCCTATTAGGATAGCGAAGMGTGAGGACAAGGGGAAAACAAAAGTAATGACACCATTGTAGATTGCATGTGAAACTGCAGTATTTCAGCCATCCAATGATGCTGGGTATATCATCTTCCTTAATAAAGCTTTGGGAAAAGTCATCTTGCCTTCAGAAGTTTGGAATGTGGTTTCAAAATTATACCATGGGTGACCTTTTACTGTGCCTTGTGTTGACGATGAAAATAGTCTTGCTTCATTAGGGTGTCACCTCCACCTTCTAATTCAGATGCTACTTCCTGGCATTTCTGTAGTGCTTTAATTTAAAGGTAACAATTTAATTAAGCTGCAGAACTACCCAGCAAAGTAAATGAGTCTCACTGTCCCACTACAGAAGGGGAAATCGAGTTGCAGAGTGTTGGTTATTTGCCTGTGGTAATGGAGTTAGTGGTAGARCCTTGGCTAGTATCAATTCATCCTTGAGGTTCTCCATCCCTGTCACACAGTACRTCACATACTTTGGTCTGCTGGTTTTGTCCTTTAAGTGTCTGCAACTTGCTAATAATCATATTTGTGTTAATTAGCTGCTCATTACAACACATAGTTGCAAATCAAATGCCATTCTTTGAAGATACATACATGCAAATGATCATTGAAAGTTGAAAGTCTAGTTTACAACTATGTAGTACAGACTCCAGCTGAAGGGTTAGGAAAGGTTCAGCACTAAGTCTCAAGTGCAAAGACATTGAAGAGGTTGAGAGCCAAACTTCTTTTTACTTTTGAGCTCACATTTCTGATAGTAACATATTTCCCCATTGAGTGTTTCTCAGTGAATGTAGTCGGAAAACTCACATGGATTGTGATAAAAAGAGCCCCTTTTCCCCTTGTAGCAAGATTGGTTCAGTGCCTATAATTTCCGAGAGAAAACTATTAAATGGCTGTTCAAGCTCTTTCCTTTTTTGTTTTTTTTTGGGTTTTTTTTTTTCCTATCTCTTTGAGCTAATCTCAATGCAGGACATAGCTCTGGAAGGACTGTAATGCTGGAAAATATTAGAAAATAATACTGACAGAATGCAGTTGAGCCAGCAGTGCCGCCACCTCACACATGTAGAGTTTGTGAAAGCATGACTGTCTTTCGCTTGGACAGCAGGGACCTGCTACTGACTCAAAATTCAACAAGTCCTGCACTGGGAGCAGAACTTGGACTTGAAACTCATGCACTTCAAAAGCAGGAGACAGAAAGTGCTCTGCAGCATGATGTCAGGGACTGCATTTGGGTTGCTCTCTGGTGTTGTTTTCTGTGTGTGATGGGCTTTATTGCAAAGGCTGCTGTTTCCTGTTTGCTGGTTCTTATGCGAGTTGGCAGGATTTGTTCCAGAGTATTTTACATTTCAAGTGAAGTCTCATTATGTT